ACTTAGCATATATATATATATAACTTATAAATGTCATGATGATATGTAAATTATATTAAGTGCCTGAGTTGCACTATAATAACGATAAACAAGGAGGCCTTAAAACGGGTTGAAATCCTCCCATATACAATGATCATTACTGCAAAATCAAAATTACATCTTCCTCCAAACTAAAGATGCCATTGTGCTTGAATGGATCTGAGAACTTGTTTTAGGAAGTGAAAGGGAACAAGGCTCGAGAAAGAAGAGGAGAAAGAGGGAGAAGATAAAGAGGAGAGAGCAAGAGAAACAGTAACTTCAATATTCACATGAGCTCAAAATATATGATGCTATTTATAGCTATGAGATGAGAGTGGATTGTGAGGTCGTTGGAGCAGAATTGGTTGTAACTTCTTTATCTTGATTTCCTGCATGTGTGACAGCAGTCGTTCTGAACTCCTTTGGTTATTTCTATTAACTCTTATCTTGATTTCTTGAGTTTGGCGTTTATATTGTTTCGGTTATTACAAACGTCATCAAAATTTTCAATAAAAATGAAAATAAAAAGAATGGGATATTCCTTTGGTAGTACATGATAAAAAACAAAAATCATCATATTAAATATTTATCACCGCCATATTATTAAAAAGAGCATATTCATTTCAATAAAAAAGTGAACACCAAGTACCCCTTATTTGCTTTTATAAACCTGCCACCATGCTTAGAAAGAGACTCTTTTTTCTTCCCATCGCTAAAACTAAAGCTCTTAATTACAGTCAGCATTTGCATAATTGCTTGAATTTTAGTTGACTTAAAATCAAAATCATATTGTTTCAACATGAAGATAGCTCCTTTGAATGAATATAGAAGTTGAAATTGACTTGATTCTAATGGAGATGTGTGGGTGCAGGTGCGTGTATACACATGCATATAGAGAGAGAGAGAGAGAGAGAGAATCAATTAGAATTAAGATAATATTTTAAAAACTAATAGGCCCAACTAAAATTTAGTTTGAAAGTCAACTATGAACCCATCATTTCAACTATACTCCAAAATCTTCTATTACAAGTTGAGGCCAAGCTCGCATGCACTCTAACGCAACATCACCCCTAACCAACATAACTCCAAAGAAATCCTTCCTTAGGCAGCAGATTTTTTTAATTACTCGAGCAAGATGGAGAAAGAATGATAGCTAATATTTAGATTTCAAAGATGAAGATCAAGCAAAACAAATCTCCTACCAAGACACACAAGCAAATATTCTGAAATGTAATATATGCCCTTTTATTAAGGGGAAACAATTTTTTTTTTTTTTTTTTTTTTTTTTTTTGTCTTTACAGCATGTGTAAGTTTTGAGAATTTGGTAGAATACTTTATTGACAAAAGGGGATATAAACACAGCTTGCATGAATCCTAAAATATGAATTCATAACACATATATCTCACTAAGATTACAATTAATCAATTTCTAATAACTACCCGAAGATAAAAAAGAATAGATAAAATAGGAAAAACCAAACACCTATATCTCCAAAATTACAATTAATCAATTCCTAATAACTACCCGGAGATAAAAGGAAATGCATAAAAAAGAAAATAACAGGAAAGTAAATAAATCAATACCAAAGGAAATAAATCAAAACTAATAACTTCTAACACTTCCCCTCAATTTGAAACATAAATGTCAATCATGATCAACTTGGATTTGAAATCATCAAACAACAGACGAGAAAGATATTTTGTGAGGTAGAACTTGAAGTCTTTATCCCCAAGAACATTTAGAGATACTTCTAGTTGATTGCGGTCGTCTTTGACTGTAGTTTCTAAAAATAAGCGGAATGCTGCTACTGATAATGTTTCAGAGAAGTTTGCAGGAAGGTAGACAACCTACAGTGAAAACTACAGAGTAAGTACAAGGAAAAAACTTCGGAGGACGGTCTGCTGCAGGAAAAAGCACTGGAGGGTCTGCTTGAGAAAAAAGCTCCGGAGGAGGGCCTGCTGCAGAAAAAATATCTGAAGGAGAAACTGCTGAAAAAAAAAAAAACTCTAGAGGAGGGCTAGCTGCAGAAAAAATCTAGAGGGCCTATTGCAGGAAAAAACTCTAAAGAAAAGCCTCATGTAGTAAAAAACTATGTCAACAAAGTAGAACAGAGGCAGGCCTTATCAATGTCATTTTTCTTGAGAGATAATAATAATAATAAATACATAAATCATCCTCCTTGAATGAAAATTCTTGACAGACATGAGAGATCGATGAGTCAGAGGAGAACTGACTAGAACCAAATAACTTTTTCCAACTAACTTTCATTAGAGTACGGCGAGCCAGGAATGGTCTGAGTAGGGCCGATTGAATTATTGTGGATTCTGAAGCCGTCGTGATACCTTTACCGGTGGAAAATTTAGTCGGATATTTATTTATCCGGTTCTCATGAAGTTTGTGGTATTTAGGTCCTCTGATCTGCGAAGGGATCCAGGTAGATGCTAAACCTCCGGTGGAATCAAGAACCGTATCAAACGAAAGCTCGGAGGTGGAGGATCAGTCATGGCTCCAACGGAGCCAAAGGAGAGGATCAGACGTTGAGGTATGAAAGGATTCGATTCCTACATCTTGCAAGGAGGGACAGGGATTCGACGAGCTGTCTGAATATCGTTTAGTATAATAATAACCCACATCGCATTGATGGCGCAAAAACTTGTCTTCAAAGAGACCGACAAGGTAAGTCTCCATAGCCTCCTAAAGTGCAGCAACAGCAGAAATTTGGAATCAGAGATTGGTATTGAAATCCTGCTCATTTTTGCGAACCAGACGTTGGAAGGGAAGCTTACGGATGAAAAGAGTCGTGCACTTCTGGGACATCCTGATCTCCCTCACCGCAACTGTTCTGGAACAAAAACGATGGGGTTTTATCACGCCACTGGTCGTAGGATCCGACTTCCTAGCCACCTTGGTTGCCATTTGTTTCCTTGGCGACATTGGCGTCGGTGGACTTGCAAGCGGTTTGCTTTGTCCTTGCCATCAAAGTGATTTGAGCTTATTTTTGGTTTCTACAGAAAGACATGAATCGGCTGTTGCTTGCTGCCGTTGTGCCTCCGTTGAAAGGCTGGTTGGATAGGCTGCAAGTAGCGATGCTACGGCCCTAAAAGAAATGGGATAGGAGGGCCTATAGGAAAACTAGAAAGGAGATACAACTGTCTGCAGTAGAATATTTGGTTATTGCCAAGGTCAAGGAGAAGGGTTGTCGAGCAAAAAGAATGCCCACCGAAGGGTCGTTAGGAGTTCTCGAGACAAGGAGAAGACGTGCAGTGGGAAGACTATCTACTGCAAGAAAGAGCTGAGGGATGGCCTTCAGAGAGGGTTTCAGTTGTTGTAGAATTCCTACAGTAGGAAAATCTCTTTCGGAAGGAAGAAATCCTGGCGGCAGCTAATTGCAGAGAAAGATTGCAGTGCATAGAAACTGTTGTCAAAAACTACAATGACAACTTCGACTGCTAAAGGACTGCAAGGAGTTCCAACGGCTAAGGATCTGTAGGTAGAGAATTTTGACAGCTAGTTCTTGCAGGAAGGAGTTCCGACGACTAGGACCTACAGGGAGAGGAGTTACTGTGGCTATGGATCTGCAGGGAGAGAGTTCCGGCCGCTAGTTCTTGCAAAAAGGAGTTCCAGCGGACAGGACCTATAGGGAGAGACGTTCGGCGGCTAGGACCTGTAGGGAAAAAGATTGCGAGCCGCAGGGAATAAGATGATTTTGGCAGCAAGTGATCTTCTTCTCCTCCATCGGAGACTCTGGGGTCTGTTTCAAGGCTCTGATATCATATAGGTTTTCAGAATTTTGTTGAATACTTTATTGATATGAAATGAGAAATAAATACAGCTTACATGAATCCTAAAATTGAGAAAATATAACACATACATCTCCAAGATTATAATTAATCAATTTTTAATAACTAATCGGAGAGGAAAAAAAAGACATAAAATAGGAAAAACATAACACATATATCTCCAAGATTACAATTAATCAATTCTTAATAACTACTCCAAGATAAAAGCAAATACATAAAATAGAAAATAACAGGAAAGAAAATAAATCAATTCCTAATAACTTCTAACAACATGTTAAAGCAACAAGTAAGGGAGTCCCAAAAACCTCATTGTCAAGGCATCATCAACATGACAACCAAGTTTCAAAAAAAAAAGCACTAGATTTTTCTTCTCAAGGCATTTCCTCAAAAGAGATTCTAAAAAAGAAGGAAAAATCCTTCTTCTCAAAGGTAAAAGAATAAAAAAAAACCTGTATTTCCATGAAAGAGAAATAATAGAATTTCGAAAAGCTAAAAAATAATGGGAGAGGCTGAAATAGTGGAAGTCGCAATCTATACCAAGAACCCGCGTTTGAATTTTCCATTGAATTTGTTTAGCTTTGCAAGAATGTTGCTTGATAGCAATTAGTTTTCAATGATTCATTAGTAAAAACACTAGCAATGAATACAAATATTCTATCTAGTAAGCAATTTGATAATTCAAATAATAACAACAATTCGACTCAAAATAATAACAATTTTAATTCAACAAATAAGAATATTACTTACCATCAACCAATATAATATCTCCAACATCCACATCATTTATGAAGTTATCATAGTTCACACTAACAGTATTCTCAGTGTTAACTCCTCTTTTGATGGTGAAATTGAACTCCTGACCTTCCACAAGTAAAATGGGTTGAGGGACATCTCCACTTCTAACTTCGGGTCCCTATATTAAATATTATTAGTTTCAAACATTAGTTGTGTGGCATTTTTTCATCAAATTTGTAACTAGCATATGTGTGTGATTAAAATACACTAGACTAAATCAAATCATCCTGGATAAGACACGTGTCAAGTGATCGACCACTGCAGGTGTGAAAATCCGTCGAATTCGTGGGAACCGAATGAATCAACCGAGAGAACCAATAAAGTCCAACCAAGAGGAAAGACAAATGGTTTGCAACGCCGATCGTCTCACCAACTTAGGAGTGGGGAATATGAAGAGTTGCTAAGTAATGGCTCGATTATACCTATGGCCATCTCAAGAACGACTACTGAAAACCGATCGAGGACAAAAAACAATGAGGGGCATTATCAACATTTCACAATATGACCCTGATTTTCTATTAATATAGGAACAGTAAAATGTAAAGAGACCTTTTGGGAAAAACTTAGAGATACATTACTAATTTTATATTCTTAAATCTCTTCTTTTTCTCTCTTTTTACATTCTAATCATTGAGTGTGATTCACTAACAAATTTGAGTTAATACCCTAAAAATGTGCTAAGTGTGGAATCATGTCGCAAACAAGTAGACGTGTGACTCAAGGAGAACCCTAGCCTTAGGAAGCCTCTGATAACATAAATTGCACCTGTGAGTTTGAAACTTAGCATATCAACAACTCAGAGCAAATGATGGAGGCAATCAAAAGTGCACTTGACCCAAGAAAGGTACAACTGCCATGACCAACGACATCCCATCATCCACAAAGAGTAGCCGCCCAGAACGTCGTAAGGATCCCTCCTACCCTAGAACTGAGCAAGACAGACACTACTCTAATAGTGCGGGTTCCACACCACTCAACCATCACAGGCATGAGCACATAGAAGCATCGTGACCCGCACAACCTTAGAACATCTCCAAACAAATCTCCAAAGCTGAACCCTTAACGCTTCAAAATCCAGGCATTCAAATCCTACTGAGGACAGTCGGGCTCGACCAATCATATTGTTTTTTTTCAAATCAACAGTATGCCAACTAAGGGCCGGCGACGCACTCAAATGTCGCATGTTCTTCACAACGCTCAGAGAGTTGGCCCTCCCTCACAACCTCTGTGCCTAGATCGTCGTCTTCTTGAAAAAATATACTACGATAGATAAGCTTCAAGAGTCCCATATTATCATTCCGACAAAAGTTTTGCTTCGTTGCTTGTTCGCCAGAGAGAAAAACAAGAGACACCATGAGAGTGATCAAAGAAGGGAAATTATGGGGAAGAAAAGAAGAGGCTCGCCTTCAGTTCAAATTGACTCTTTTGGGGCGATTCCGGGAAGCACTTCACTTATGGGCATGGGTACCAATCGGACAATTGTAATCGTCCAGTCACCCGACATGGCTTCACCTGCAGTCCTCGCAAAGGCCCACAGTACGGTGGGGGGTCAAGCCTTACCAGTACCCGCCAATCCCCCGCCGTTCATGCGACTTTATCCTCAGGAGTTAACAGTGTACGAGGCGATTAGAACCATTGGTACATTTTTGCTTTTGGTCGAAATGGCTTTTAATTGTTATTTGCTGACAACTCTATCATTCTCTTAAGTATGGCAGATGACGAGACTCGACCAGGTTTAGACGGAGTTCTCATGGTGTCGGTCGAGGTTGGAAACAATTAGCCTATCAAAGAAGGTGGCATAGTCAGCCGCTCCGAGGATCACTCATTTCCGATTGAAACACAGAAAGGGGAGGTGTGATCGATCCAAGCGAATAGTGAGGAGTTTGCGTGTTGTCTGGCCGAGATTGAGAGCTCATTCTCTTATGATGTCGGTTTTCAATGAAGCTCAGAGGTTAGTACTATGTCGGCCCATGTGGCGTATCTAAAATAGGAGATTTCGACGATAAAGCAGAAGATTTCTATTGTTCAATAAGAGCTCACGAGTTTGCAAGAGTTGTCTCAGATCTCCTAAGCCCAGATTGAGTCTGATAGGTTCAACCAGCTCAGTTACGGTAGTAAATTTTTGTTCTGGATGCTGGTTTGATCGAGGCATGTCTCAACTGAGGCAACATCAAAATCGTGCATAAGCTTCTTCTCCGGGTGAGTCGGAGATATGTAATGATTTCCTGTAAAAAAAAATTCAAGTGAAATGATGTTTTCTCAATTTTCGTATTAATCTTTTCCATTTGAATTTTTTTAGGCGATCACTTCGAGTGTTGCCTCGCAACAGTTGGGATTAACCCTGACTATAAAAAGGGGTTTAATGGTTGTGAAGATACTTCTTTTCCTTTGTAACTCCTTTTTAAGCTCTTGTTTCCTCCTCCGGTCGAGATATGGCTCCTTGTCACCAAGAAGCAGCCCATCACATCCCTCGTCGCCATTCTTCTCGCGAGTTTTTTAATGACCCCACTTTCTGTCTCATCTAAGATGTCCTAAGCCAAAGTATAAGAGTGTCAGTCGAGCCGAGCCACCTTCATGACTTGCCATCCGCATCAGGCTCACCGCCCCACAAGAAAGGGCGAATATCTTGAAGGAGAACAAGTTGGTGGTTTAACAGGACCAACGTCGACTCGACCTCTGGTTCCCATTGTGTGGAGTTATGTCATTTTCAGCTATTATGGGGTCATCCTAAAGGTGCAAACGAGTTGAGTCGAGCTTGAGCTAACCTCAACTTGAGCTTAATTAATTTTATCGAGTTCGAGCTCGAGCATAAGTTTACAAGTTCGAGCCGGTTTATTTATTATAAAAGAGAGAGAAAAATATTAATTTAAGGTAGTGTTATAATAAAATGAGCAATTATGAGGGAAATAATAAGAAATTACTAAATATAAAATAAAAAATATTATTTTTTAAACATTTTTAACACTTTAAAGACAAAGCTATCAAATTTAATATATTTTGAGTGTATTTTATATTGATATTTTTAAAAGAGCTGGCTCACGAGCTGAGTCAAGCCAGGGCTAGCTTGAGCTTGGCTTGTTAGCTCATCAAGCTCAGTTCAGGCCAAGCGGAAAAAGGACGATGAGGCTTTGGCCGTAAAAGAGCGAAGGAACAGCCAGTTGAGGGCCTTTCAGGTAATAATCTCACATTTTCAATCTCCCATTCAACCATCATTCTTTAAAAGGGGGCAGAAGAGCTAATCATTATTGAGCAACTGACTTATCGAAAAGAAATGATGCTTGTACATGATACTCCAAATGATGGTAAATCAGCTGGCGATGATGGATCTGGTCGAAGCGAGGTTACAGCCAACGCAAAGCTTCCTAAGGAACTTCCCCCTTTTGAAAAATGATGCATGTACGTGTTGCAGATCCATATGATGGTGAATCAGCTGGCGATGATGGCTCTAGTAGAAGCGGGGTCGCGACTGACGCAAAGCTTCCTGAGGACGTGTCGGGTGGCCCTTCGGAATTGGCATCACCAAATGTCCATCTCGATCAGGGTTTTTTATCTTTAGAACAGAAGAGCACTACCATTTGGGCTTCTCCAGAGGTATCGCTAGGGGGTTAAGATATGATGAGCTAAGAGGAGAGGATCCATCTGAAAAGAGGAGTGTAGTCGCTTGGGCCCCTTCTATAATGGTATTGCAAGTGGGGTCGAAAGAGGACAAAGCGTGGGAGTAGGATCCATCTGAGCAGACTAATTGGGAGAATGAGTGTTGTTGTAAAGGAAAAGCCTTTGTTGAGGACCCTTCCTGAAAATGCAACCTTCGACCTTCCCTGAGATGTCTCAATTAAAGTGGATCCCCTTATAAGGATGGCGAGAGAAGGCGATGACTCGCGCTGAACTCAAAAAGGATTGGAACCCTCGGGATTTGGTTGTCGCTCAATACGCTTCTACTCTGGATCTCATCAATGTGTCTCCGTAGGTGTCTGAGAGCTTCTCGAGATTCAATCCTAACTAATAGTCGTTGGAGGCGGCTCGCTTACATGCGTTGGCCTGCAAGCTTCAAGTACTCTGGTAAGCTCCTTCCACCGCGAGTGTCTGATCCGTAAGAATTTGAAGAGGAGGATGAGGAAGTTGTAAGCGGATTTAGAATCAACTGTTGATCAAATTCCTACTATAAAAATGGTTGAGGAGCTCATACCAGAATATCACAAGATGATTTGTGCAAGAATCCATTATGACCTCGTTCATATGGAGAAGGGTCACTTAATCCCCTCAGAATGGACGAATATGCAGAAGTTCCCCAAACTAATGAAAGATTCTGAATCAAGGGGGACGATGATGTCTGGAGTGAGGATGAGGGAAATGATAATCGGTCATCTAATGTGTGATCACTTCGTACTATTTTCTTTTCCTTCTTGACAAAGCAACAAAAAATGTGTAACACACTTTATTAATGAAATGAGTTTTTTGGTGTACTTTTATGTACATTTTGTTGAGTTTTTTGTCTATTTTGAATGACTGAATGTTGATGTGTCCCTTGGTCGGTTAGTTGCATCGTGTGATGCTAATTTGAAAGCCCAACCCAAGTCTTACCCTGATCGTGCCTTTCTCCTGGCCATTCTCGATTCGTTCATCATCTTTGACGAGTCACGTCTTATGCTAGACTTGTTGTTCGGATCCAATCACTGCCTTCACAGAGAAACCCGTCAAGACTCACAGCAGAGGTGATTCACACACTTTTTCATTGTACAAAAGAGAAATCTAACCATCGAGACTTGAATTATGTTTCGATTGCACATGGTAGAGGGTTATGGTGGTGCCTGGGAATTGTCATGCAAATAGATAGTTAATAAACGAAAAGCAACTAAGATCAATGTTTTACCATGATTCACTTGAAAAGTTGTTGTCAGCCGAACCAAAGAATAAAGGAACCAAAACGATCCACTTCCTGGCTACACGATGAATCCATTTGTGAATTAATTTCCCCGAGTGTCTTCTAGGGAGGCGCGGTAGTTAGTAGAGACTTAGTGTGAAAAGAGACGCACCACCTAGCTATTAGCTTCTCCTTTGAATTAGTGTGTTCTCGATCCCGACGAGCGAGTGTTTCGAGCTCTTCCCTTCGACTGTCAA